GAAAGAGCAACGCGAAAATCAGCGACCATCTCGACCAAATCGCAATTATTGTACTTTTTATTCCTTATAGCAAGGCTAAGTTTAAAAAGCACGAAAGACTTGGAAAGGCATTTCCGTAATCGACATGGAAGATTAACCATCGCTCACGGATCACTCGCTTCCATGGAGTTAGGCGGATGTCGCTCCCGCGAGAAATATTCGTCGCTTGCCGGGAATCGCGGAGGAATTTCGCGTCATTGAGCCGATAAGCGTGGTACAGGGAGAAGGTTAGGGCTTAAGTAAGATAAATCTTGGCGGAGCGGGTTGACAAATATCGATGGCTGGTCTACGGAGCGATCGAGGGTGGCAGGGTGCAACTGGGGTGCAGCGGAGGGTCTTTGGGTTTTCTATTCGCATGGAGGCAGAGCGACTTCCGAGAGGCGCGAGTTCACAGGGCTGTCACCGTGAGGTTCACGTCGCTCGATACATCAGACGGGTAATGGCGAGGTAGGAAAATATGCGGAAATTTTCGATCGACCCTGTCGAAGTCTGAAGCAGCTGCACGTATCGCGCTTCAAAGTGGAATATCGAATCGCCTGTTTCCTTTATCGACTACACCTCGCGCATACGAATCAGCGGGAGCGCGGAATTAAAAGAAACTCGGGAAGAAAAGCGGGAGAGAACGGGGAGAAAAAGGATTTTAATCCGAGGATCGTTTCACGTACGTCTCCCTTTCGCGAGTCACGATTTGGCGGCCGACTAGCAGGTCTTTTCCGATAGGTTTCGAGAGAGAAAAGTCGTAGCGTGTTGCGAGAATGTAATTGCAACGGCGAATGTATCAGCCAGAGGCACGTAGAACTCGCAAAGCTGAGCCGGCTCTTATTCGCTAATGGAGTAATTCCGTGGCACCGGTGGTCATGTGCACGTAATTAAAACCTGGTGAATAGACGATTCAGCGACGTACCGCGACCAGGAACACGCTCGGCTCTACCTTCGATTCCGAACGGGACAGGGATCGATGAGAAACTTCGAGTCTCTCGTGTTTATTAACTTTAAGTCTGCGACAGAATGGATTATTGGGTTAATAGCGCGTTAACGCGTGCGATAGGGACGCTTTACGAGGGCAAAAGTGATAAGGGTTTAATAACAACAAATTGCCTGTAAGCAGATTCTTTTACGACCGTGATATATTCTTTCGATAGTTCGAAAGCGTTGAACAGTGGCAATTTGTTGGATCAGAGATGTAATCGCGTTAACCTAGATA